GAAAACTCGAAAGGCTGCTACGCGTTCGAATTGCCCACGGACGTCTTTCACGAATGCTGGCGACGGGGATGCTCAAACTTGGTTCTTGGAGTGCATTCACTAGAAGCTCTTTCTGGCCTTCTGCTTCGTTGCATTCACATCTTACACTTCTACTCCATCCTATTCCATCGATCGATTTGTCTCCACTCTCCGAAATCGCGCGCTTTAACCCGATTCTCTCATTGCGTCGCCTGGTACGTAGCCGGCCAAACGCCGTCTTCTTTCCATGCCTCGCCTGGCTCTGCCTCCTGGTCCTTCGATGGTCCATAACGTGTAGTTTTTGTACGTTTGTTTCTCTTCAGAAACCGAATCTTCATGCGTGAAACTTTGTGTGCTATTTCCAGTGATCACAACTGACATATTCATGTTAGGAAAGAGTGCAAGAATTTTCCGCGCAAGATTCCTTTAAATGCGTTTCTTCATCAGTGCCCGTAGGAGGAGTTTGTGAGCAGTTCTTTACAAGAACAAGCACCACTCGTCCGTGGCTACTGTAGCACGGCATCGGAGTTCCCTCACAAATCAAGCGCAATCTCTGTGCGCAGAAGAACAAGTTACCTTGAAGATGGAACTACTGGGCTATGAAGTTGTGGGTTTCGAGTTGATCGAAAATGAAAAAAAAGCAGAGAAAAACGCCGATGAGTCCCTTAAACGTGAAGCCCTGTCTGTCGAACGACACGGCACTTCTGTAACACTCGCGGGCAACTTTATCTTACCCATAGAATAGATCAGCCCGTTTCCAAAACATTTTCAGGGGTTGTTGCTTTGAACAAGGTAAATCCATTAAACGAATAACTACACCCTGAGCGTCTACAATCAACAAAATTTATAACCCTACGTTTGAATTGGGCATGTCGCCTGTCCACAAACTGACAACAGGTCCAGTTCAAAAGAGGACAGGCCCATTTTCGAAAGTTATGAGGGTTAGATACGGCAAGTTACAACTTTCGTCAGAATGTCGAAAAACGTTTAGCGGGTGAAAGAGCGAGTCGAGTGAGATATTCCACAGGATCGCTCAGCATGGCTTCGCAAAAAAATCCTATTTGACCTCCATACCAACAGCCACTCCCCCACATCCTTCCCGCTACAAATAGCGCTCTCTCTTAATGCCACAGCTTACTATCCACTGCCTTCATGGATCCTACGGGGGAAGCGTACACGGCTTCGCCCCACTTTACGCGCCGGGATCCGCCCCTCGCTCTTTCGCGAGAGTCCGCCTCAAGACATCCCACTCGATCCTGACCTTCAACCGTCTCCACACCGTCAGCTTCCAGTGCCCTACCTGAAGCAGGACGGTCAACGGCACCCGTGAGAAGATGCACATAAGTGAGGAGTACAGTGTCACACTAGCGTCGATCAGAAAATCATTTTGCAGTCAGGAGTTTTGAGATTGGTCCCCACCTTGCAACTTTATGCATCCCCACACCATATCGAATGGACTATCAGAACAAATATGTTGAACGGTGGTTTTGGGTGCATGACATGTTCCTGTTCTCGCCACATACGGGTAATGGTGGCTAAAAACTCACTCCCGGGACGGGCACACCCTACCCACTAAACCAATTAACCTGCACGCTAACTGCGATCAAGAACTCTCTGCCAATCCTACCCCTCAAACGTGGTCTACTCGCTATCCCCCTCTCACACTTGTCCCCCCGTATAGCAAAATGAAACCGCGCGCGCCTCCGAGGAACCACGCCTAGGTCGCTTGTCGTCAGGAGCCACGACCATACCTCGCGGTCATTGTAGCCACTGTCGTGCGCCGCTGGAATCACAGCTTACCAATCCGATAAATGGCTTTGCAACTGAGTCCTTGCCAAGACCACCTCACCCGTGGGAGCTCCGTGGATGAAACGTATTTGACCCTGTTCATCGACTTGACATCTCTCACCATGTAAATTTTTCCTATATTTCCGTGCACCTATACCCGAATCAAAAATTTTACAACAAACACACTGCAAGTAACAATGTGAATGTACACACCCACCCAAGCCGCCAAGAACTGGAAAAGGTCGGTTGAACAATTACACTAGCCGATCCTTCGCTCACTCCTCACACAATACTGTCCACCGCCACACCTTTAAATTATGAATATATTTCCCCTTCCGTCCACGAAAGAAAAATCATTCTCCTCTCAGAGCGCCTATCTATCGTCCACCAATAAACGTTTACAGATTTTCTTTCAAACAGTAATGCCTACAGGCGACTGAGGGAATTCATTAAAAAATTAACCGACGTTCGCCTATCTTCATCGTTGGCGGACAGCAGTGCAACTCAGTAAGTGACATTTTTGTCCACCTCCGGTGCTCTCCGCTCGCAATCATTGCAGATCAAACAGAAGTACATGTTTATGCAACGAAGTGCTCCTCAGTTCTTTCCCTCTCTTCTCCGTGCCGCGCGCACATTTCAACACTAACCCACGGCCTTCTCGTACTCCGTGAATCCCCTACCGTATCCGTGCCACCCGTCCCTTAGCCATTCGCCATTTATCCACTTCAGTTTAGACATACCAAGCTAACACACTTCAGTATACGGCCGTCGACCCCTTTGGAGTCGGCTTGTTGATTGCTGGATACGATGTGAGCTCACAGCGCTTTTCTTCATTTTATTTCCTTATATTCATTTCTGTTCGCGATTTTTATTTTAATTGATTCTTTTTGTTGTCTGAATTGAGAGCAATTTTTGGAATACCCTTACACCCACTGTTTGACCCTCGATAGCATGTCCTTTCTCGTTCTACAACCCCCAGACATTCACTCCGTTGTTCGCCCAGGCCCCATTGTGCAGTCGATCACCTCGGCGGATGCCCCATGTCGAAGGATGTTCGCGTCATCCATCGTGCCCTCGGACGGTCTGCAGCTCGACGGTTTTGGGCCCACGTAGAACCTACTTGGAGAGGTTATTCTGGACTAAGTTTACTCCAAACTAGGTGGTCTTTCATCCTGCACCAATCAAGTACACTATGGGATCTGTCTCCCTTGTTTCATATAACGAGGCTCCGCATGCATTTCATCTTGTTAATGCACTTCCTGATATTCTGAACAACCTCCTGAAAAATTTTCAATGCTCTCTTAAAATTCGTGAACACCAACTATTTTTTTTCTTGTTTTTGTATCTAGGGTCATAGTATACAAGTGATATATGGTTTGGACACACAAAACATTTCAGCGAGTGCTGATGAATTGATTCGCCATGCTCTCTGGCTTTGCGAGATACTCTACCCGCGGAAGAGAATTTAACGAACCAGGTACTGCATAGGTCAATAATAGGAAGTAGTGTTGTTCCTTCAGTTTCCAACAAGATATTTCTTCGACATAACGTGGATACGACACCTCCATCGCCACCTTGGCAGCTTGTCCGTGGAGCAGGGTCAAGCATGCTTCACGGAACGCTTTTTGGGATCGTATTTTGTCAATCTGGGGAGTCGTATTTCGAAGGATTCGCCTTTAGCCAAGCTTGTGAAAGACCGCTTACGATGCTGACCGGTTCCATACCAATCCAAATACTGCTCAAAAATTCAGTAATTCAAACTTTTTTGGCAGAACTTTGACCTCTGTTGTATAAACGCCTATATATAGACTGGTACTTTGAAAATTTCGCCTATATTTGCCATAATTATTTCTACGCTGTAGCAGAACTTCCTCCAATGACTGAGTATTGGACTAAGAAAACTTTTCCTATCCCATCAGTTGAAGTTTCACTTGCCGGCTCTCTTCATTGTTGAACAATGAATAATAATCTGATGAATCCCCTAGAGTGCTCGACCACATGTACGAAAAAGATTCGCCTGCGCGTTGGCTTCTGTAGACGCCTAAAATCGAACCGGGAGAGCTCTGTCTGCCCTAATCTGATCGTCTTCTCTTCCAACGCGTTTGAAGATGAAATCTCGCTATCTTTGCAAGTCACCATGAAGTCAGCGATATTCGTGTCCTCTTGCATTTTGCCCTTTCACGTCACGCACTGAATGTCCAACCGCCGACGACACGTACCTCGGAGTGACAGTATCATGACCATGCCCTCACGGTTACGGTCCTTGTCTCACCCGGTGGTCGTGTGGGCTACTGCTAGGCCATCCCCTTACCCTAACTGCCTCATCCTCCGATAGTAAACCACTTCGACGGCTCGCAGCTACTGTTATGGCCAACCACACAGTGCCTATGCGCTTTTCATGCCCCGTTTTCTCCATGCCTGTCTCTTCCATAATGGCAAGAAACGTTTTCTGTAGATTTGTTTATCTTATTCCTGCTCGGTCCCTATCAGGCCCGCCCGCTTCCGTAATACAACCAGCATATTAGGCACCGCTATGAGGAACGTGGATTACGCTTCATTTTTCATTTGCCGCTCTAAATACCAAAAAAGGACAAGGGCTTGGTTATTATTAGGTTGAAAGAAAGTCCTGCAACGCTTTTCCGAAATTTCTGACACTTCAATTTATATTTATTTTTTTTGTTACAACTTCCGATCAGTCACATATCTACCATGAGTGTCCACCACCTGTCTTCAACGCTTAAGAAATCTCGGTGCTCCTTTGCCAAAACCCGGCAGAGTGTAGGTCAAGAAAGGAGGCGACCTCATTTTCGAGCAGGAGTTGTTTGTCTAATTATTTCGTCGTCAGGATGATGATTTGAGGTCCAGGATAGGTGGCAGCCACATTTCATAGCTCCTCGACCAGGACATTACGCTAGAGAGGAAAGAAATCTTGCCGCAACTCCAGAATTTCTTACCGGGCTCATTTCGGATCATGGTGATTCGCAATGTCATGAAAGAAATGAATATTGTCGCGGTACGAGGGCTCTTGACGAGCTACCTCGGCCAGCTTCTGGTACTTCACAACCTAGGCCACTGCCTACACAATGGTGCCCATAACGACCCGAATTTTGTAAATGATCTTCCGTTGGAGCCCCTTAGTACGGCAAAGACCGGCATCACTACTGAACTATTGCTAGTTAGTGCGGTCTTATGACACCGAATCCATAGTTTACGGTACACTGTGTATTACCGGGTGCGCGCCCACTATAATTACGTCAGCGAGAACAACCACCAGCTCCGTCGTGGTTTCCTCACAGCAGTCGTCCTTTGCACTGGCCACCTACACTTTGCATTACCTTGGCTCTCTCCGCGTTTTCAGGCACTTCGAGTTGCCTCAGATACGAGCAGAGTCGGCAATTCTTGAATACGATTAAATTCCTTGGTTTGTGTTTATACGGGTCCTCAGAAACATCGAGGAACCATCGACTGTGGCACGCAATGTGGCGAGTAGGACTCGTCAAGCTCATTTTAGAGCGGTTTCTTCAACCAATCCCTAGACATAATGTGTTTTATGCAAGCCTCAGCTTCTAGAATGGATCCGACAGCGTACCCTATCGAGCTCAGATCTGTAAATGCTGTTCTACCACCGTTTAAGCCGACAAAGTCGAAAAAATCGGTTCTGCATCAATGCTGCACTAGTACTGAACCACCCTTGCCTCGTAAACGGGAGCTCCTACTTGATGGAAGGCCCAGCAACGATTTTCAAAGTGAAAATAAACTCAGGATAGCAATGGGCTCTGATAAATCCAAAAGAGCCCCCCTGATTCCTATCTCTCGTGGCATCCAGTGAAACCAGCGCGTCAACTACCTGCAGATTCTATCGCACACAATCCTTAGATTGTTCGTGGTCGCCACAGAAACACGCCCTTCTCATCCAGAATGACTGCATTCAGCTCCTTGTCCCCTGTACTACTTGAGTTCTATTGATAGTGCTTGTATTAGCACCCAACTAGAGATAATCGCCGCGTACGCCAAAAACTCTCACACCGTCTGGATGCTTAACATCTGAGGACACGTCGAAGTTCAATGATTTAGTTATTCGTGTCAGTATCAGTCAACCGCTGCAGCTACCATAGATTTTGGTGGTTGAACAAGGTAAGCATAAACAATTCTACACCACAGTACCAAAACTAGGACAGAAGAAAACAGCATCTGTGAATATCAGTTCAAATTGTTTGCTCATGCGTTGTCTCCGTAATTTTGGCGCACCCTGTACTATAAATGTCATAAATGTCACCTATGAATTTTTCAGAAAAAAAGAAAATTTTAAAAGAGTGTTGCAGAACTTTCTTTCCAAACTAATGTAATTCCTCTATTAACCAAGTTTGTGTATCCGATGCCATTGGCAAGGAGTCTCAAAAATGCTACAGCTCAAGCTATAATGTTAAATAACTCACCGCAAAAAACTTCTAACTGGCCCTTAAATGAGCAAATTACCAAAAGTTTGGTAATCCTAGCAAGAGGTGGTAGCGCTCCTTTCCCACACCCAGTTCTTATTGGCATTCCAAAGAGCCGCGAAAAATGAGCCACAGCTACCACGTTTTGCTGCCTCTATATCATGCAAAAAAAACCTCAAAAGTGGGTCACGATCCGAAAGATCTCCCTGGGTCGAATTAGGAAGAGTCGAGTCACAAAGTGATTAGCACGTTGTGTACCGGCGCTCTCGTAAATTTCTTCCGCGCTGCGTGCCTAAACGTTTTTTTTTGGCCTAGCCCCTGCCCTGCCTCATGGGCGGTTCAATCCTAATCCCCCCCTCCCAGGGGATATATCCCCCTCCTCTGATTCAATCCTCTGGGGGGACAAAAAAGGGTTGCGTCATAGGACCTAGCATACCTCTGTGTTTCTACCTGCCAGACAGTTAGAGCAGCGCTACTACCCTCCACTGATGAAGCACTCTTTCCCCTGAGGGGTCGCGCTGCTCTAACTGTCTGGCAGGTAGAAACACAGAGGTATGCGAGGTCCTATGACGCAACCCTTTTTTGTCCCCCCAGAGGATTGAATCAGAGTAGGGGGATATATCCCCCTGGGGGAAGGATTGAATACCGCTCCATGTGATGCACTTGGCCATAGGGAACAGTCTTTCCTTCTCGAATAGAATCTACACTTATCCTCTTTCAAAGTCGAAATCTGTTGCGTTGTTTTCCCATAAGGAGAACAAACTTACCTGAGGATCTAATGTCTAGAAAATTTTATATCGTTCATACCATCTTTCCTGAGACTTATTTGTTTTTTCCATATTCTGGTTCGTGTACATTTCTTGCGATTTGCGTGTCACATTTAAGGCAAAAACAATTGCAAAATTAAGAAAGAAAAACCATTATAAACAAAATAATTGATACGGTTCGCGTTTCGTATCAATTATTTTGTTTATAATGGTTTTCAAAAACCGAAAAAAAATCGTTAAAAGGTTATGTTGAAATCAGTCTGATTCTAGTTTTGAGTCGGATGAAATTCCATTTGGATGCTGGGAAGGTGAGGTAAGAGATAGAAAGAAGAGGTTATCGAAGAAAAGTGGGCCTCTCATGTCAAATGAAAGGCTAAGAAATAAACTCAAATGTTCAAAAGGTGGTCAATATTACTGTTCGTTTTGTTCTCAATTGTATCGCAAAAAAAAGTTAAGACTTTCAACGAGTGAATTCCCTAGAAACAATCAATTTCACCAAAAAATCTGTGAAGCGGCAGATTTCTTTCTAGCAATAACTGCTAAATATGTTCAAGTTCTGTATCACACTCAATCATAGAGTCTCACGATTAATTGTCAGACCTCGGTCAGACTCGGCGATTGCGTCGCTGGACACCAGCGACGGAGCCGCCAGCGACGGAGCCGCCAGCGACGGAGCCGCCAGCGACGGAGCCGCCAGCGACGGAGCCGCCAGCGACGGAGCCGCCAGCGACGGAGCCGCCAGCGACGGAGCCGCCAGCGACGGAGCCGCCAGCGACGGAGCCGCCAGCGACGGAGCCGCCAGCGACGGAGCCGCCAGCGACGGAGCCGCCAGCGACGGAGCCGCCAGCGACGGAGCCGCCAGCGACGGAGCCGCCAGCGACGGAGCCGCCAGCGACGGAGCCGCCAGCGACGGAGCCGCCAGCGACGGAGCCGCCAGCGACGGAGCCGCCAGCGACGGAGCCGCCAGCGACGGAGCCGCCAGCGACGGAGCCGCCAGCGACGGAGCCGCCAGCGACGGAGCCGCCAGCGGGCGATGACTCGAGCCGAGCGCGACCACATCGACGGAGCCGCCCCGCGACCGCTGGGGCCGATTATGGGCTACAGCGGAGCCGCCCAAGCGACGGAGCCGCCAGCTAACGAATCCGTTCAGCGACGTAGCTGGCAACGGGCGATGACCTACCAACAACACGATATAATAGCATGTGCAGGCGGGAGATTAAACCCTTACAAAATGCTATTTGACCGGACGTCAACGTGCTCGTGGGAACGCCAAATACCGCGCCTCTTTTTGGCGCGACCAAATCTTGCTCAACATTGTGCAAAATTTCCCCTGAACGCAGTTACTACACGGCGGGCATAAATGAATATATATTGGACATATATTTCCACTGAAATCACTACTTTGTCCCGTTTCGTATTTTTCATGATTAAGAGGACATATATAGTGAATATGACAGAAAAGTGTTGCTAAATGAAAATGATAGGGCCATAAAAGGGAAGCAGGAATGAAAACTGCTCAAAATAATTGTAATGGGAGAAAAGGGAGCGGGAAGTGTCCGAAACGGAACTTTTAGTAATCGCTATCGATCCACACTACACAGGTAGTCGTCATGAATTCTGCCCTCTAATAGAACAGAGTTTTAAAATGATTTATAACTGTTTTTGCTGAGCTCAAAGTGGACATCCGTTTAGTATTTAGTTATTTTAGGGACAAGTTTGAGGTTGAAGTCTAGGTTTTTTCGTACGTACGACATGAGTATCTTACATAGATATGTAACAACATAAAAGTTTTTGTCGAAAAACCTTATCCTCGGGAAAATGGTCCCTGACACCCCATGGGTGTCAGACGGTCCGGAAAGGGTTAATCCCCCCCTGCCAACCGATATCGATCGTGTGATGAGTCATCGCCCGTTGCCCACTCTTGTGGCTGGCGGCTCCGTCGCTGGCGGCTCCGTCGCTGGCGGCTCCGTCGCTGGCGGCTCCGTCGCTGGCGGCTCCGTCGCTGGCGTCCAGCGACGCAATCGCCGAGAGTCTGACCGAGGTCCACGAAGAATGCACGGAAGCTTCATTGTAGTGCCCAGCTAAGTAATGCAGGGTTATCAATTTCATCACAGTATTTATATAGGATCCCTACAATGATTATGTGAATTGCTATCAGTTCCATCGAAGTAGTGTATAAGTTATCAGTTAGTTAATGTAAAAAATTGGATCTTTAAACGTCTGTAGTTGTTATCAGTTTCATTGCAAAAAAGAATATCACCTGTATCACCTGTCGTCCCGTTGATCATCGAATTGCTCGAGCGGGCGCCAGCAACGTCTCCATTCGTCCCTGTCGCGTGCAAGAGTTGTCCAGTGGACCCTCCTCGCTCGAGGGACACGATGTCCTTCATTCCTTTCGTTCAGAGCTTTCGTGAAGAAGTCTGACCATCGGGCCGGCGGTCGTCCAGGTGTTCGTTTGACGTCCCGAGGGATCCAGTCGGTAACCGCTCTGGTCCAACGGTCATCGCAAAATCGCATGACGTGTCCGGCCCACCTTATCTTCGATTCCTTGGCGAAAACGGCAGCGTCCCTGATCTTCGATCGTTGGCAATCGGACCCACTCGGATTCCCTCTCCCCTCACTTGCTGTATAGGCGTATCTCTCTATCTATCGCGTCCTCCCTCGAAGTTATTCCGCGCGTTGGATAACGCTGACCGCATGCTCGTCCTGCCTGCGCAGAGTCCAAGTCTCTGAGGCGTAGGTTAGGGCAGGAAGGACAGCGGAATCGAAGAGGTGGGCACGGAGCCGGATGTTCTTCGTCTTCTTCACTACTCCCTCGATGTTCTTGTACGCTCCCCAAGCCGCTCGTTTCCTCCTGCTCAGCTCTGGAGCTAGATCGTTCATCATATTGATTTCCCGACCTAGGTACACGTAGCTGGAGCATTCGGTGATGTTCGTTCCGTTGAGCGTGAATGGGGCATCAGGAACCAATCCGTTTCTCATAAACATCGTCTTCGTTAGGTTCAGCTGTAGACCAACCTTACCACAGGCGCAGTCGAAATCAGCCAGCATTCGCTCCGCTTGCTCGATGTTCGGCGTTATAAGAACGATGTCGTCAGCAAAACGAAGGTGGTGTAGTTGCCGGCCGTCGACCTTCACTCCCATGTCTTCCCATTCCAGTTGACGCATGACGTTCTCGAGAGCGGCGCTGAAGAGTTTGGGCGAGATGGTGTCGCCCTGTCGAACCCCTCTCTTGACGTCGATGATGACCTCCTTGTAGAATGGTGAGATTCTGGTCGTAAAGTTGCTGTAGAGCTCACGAAGAATCTTGATGTACTGAGTAGGGACGCCCTGGTTGCCCAAGGCTTCGATGACCGCTTCTGTCTCCACAGAGTCGAAGGCCTTCTTCAAGTCGATGAATGTGAGACAA